TTACTTCATATTTCATATCTTTGCACCAATATGAAGGTGAGACGTCATCTTCATTAGTGTTGTTAATATAAAATGGCCATGTTTTATTTAAAAAAACCATGTATAGTAAAGACGCAGTCTATTAAAATATTTCTAAATGCAAGTATGAGCTTGAAATCTTAAAGAGCAAAAAGGCATAATATGCAACGAAATGATATTTATATCAACATCCTGAAAATAGGAAGGGAAAACTTCCCAGAAACCACTTAGAAACAAAAAAAAAAGTTTCGACAAACACCCACAAAAGTCACTTCTAAGATAAAAGGTAAAAACTAAGGAGCATCATCAATGGGGGTAGAGGGATCAGCTTGATAAGACGAATGAATGACATCATTCATTAAATTCAAGGAGCTTAGGATTCAAGTATCTCCCTTTGCACGGGACCAATCAATGGTTTCAACCATACAACAGCTTGGCCTGATTTCTTTAATAGATTCCCACCATGGGGACTTCAATTAAAACTTTCTTCATGCCTTGTCTACGCTAGAAGGTCCGGCTTCCTCACGAGAAGCAGCGGCAAGAAAGGCAACAAGGGCGACTATAGGTAAGGGAGCAGAGAAACGTAAGGATTAACAGCAGAACCGAGGTCATTGGAAGAGAGGCAAGTGGTGGCTCCTCAGAAACAGGACCAAAATCTTCTTCATCCTCAAATTCTTGCGTGAAAAGTCTATCAACAGGACTTGAGGGGGATTGCTAGAATAGTCAATATCTTCATCAGAGATGTTCAAATGGACACTCTCTGACTCGTCAACAAGACTAAAAGACACAGAGCCTGGAGGGGTCTTGAGAAACAGTGGCTTCATCATCTAAAACCACGCGTCTTTTGGCTCATGGCTTTCTCACTAAGGAACCATCTTTATTGTCTTCTTCTTCTTCGGAGCCACGGGCTTCATCATTCTTCCTCTTAGAAGAAGATACACTGAGAATTTATTCTTGTGCGGAGTTAATAGAATGCCTAGCAGAAGGAACGGAAGCGGGGCTGATACCACGAATGGCAAACCCTAGAAACAGCAAAAATAAAAGGGACCAAAAAGGGAGAAAAAGAACAAAGGGAAAGAAAACCATGAAAATAAAAATATACTATGGGTCTTCACTTTCCATCCAAATTTTTGAGAAAAAAATTTCCAAGATCTTTGGTCCAAGGGAGCAACGGTCAATATTTTTTATACCCAATCACGAAAGTCAGGGATTCCTCTAAAAACTTGCATGGTTGTTGCAAAATAAACATAAATGTATGTGAGAAAAATTAAAACATCGAGAGAAACGAAGAAGTAGAGAAAAATACTCACGTGCAAAGTTCCTCTTCTCGGGGAAGGGCATATTCTCATCACCCACTAAGTCATGAGTGGGAACAACTACAAACTGGGCATACCAGCCACGGTCACGATCATCCTCGGGGCTGACTAAAACTCTCTTACTTCTTTCCACAAGAGAGAAAACACCCTCGTGAAAGAGCTTCAGGGAATACAGATGGAGTAAGTGACGAAAAGAAAAAGAAGCGGGAACCAAATTCGATAAATAACGAAGGCAAGCTACTGCCCTCCACACGATCGGACCTATTTGGCCAAGGTAGACATTGAAGTAACGGCAAAATTCAATGATTACTGGGTCAATAGGAGGGTTGAAAAAAGGGTAGGTGTAAATAAAAGAATAACCTTCATGATAAGAGGTAATTCTATCATCAGCACTAGGAGTCATCATTGGGAAATTTTATTTCCAGTTGTATTCACGACGAACCAAGGAAAGGAGACCAGCAGTGACTAGGATAATGATCATCAGAGTTAAGAGATGCTATGGAAGAAACCTGTTTTCTCATAGCTTCACAATCTGATATGAAAGAAAATTCCTGAGGAACAATCTCAAATACAGTGGGCTCTCGCATGGGTTCATTGTGATCTTTCCCTCTAGAGGAAGATCTAAGGGTTATGGAAGTTCTAGTTCTAGAAGAGAAAGGTTTAGCAGTATCCCTCTAAGAAGGGGTAGAGCTACGGAATATAAAGAGCCTAAAATACGAAGGCTGTCACCTCTTCTACTTCTAGTTGGAGCAGAAGAGGGGGGAAGTTCATCAACAATTACTACCATACGGGGGTCCGATAATGAAGAAGGGTTTGAAGAACGGGAAGTCATCTCTAATAATGAAAACACAGAGAAAGAAGAAAAACTACAAGAAAAGTTAGAATTTGAATGCAAGAGAGAAGAAGAGGTTTTCAAAGTTGTGTATGATATGGTATTTATAGGAGGGAGAAGGCCATAATCAGAAACCATCATTATGAACTGTCATCATGGAATCGTCACTTCGCAACTGATGCAGCCGCAGAAAACCCTAAAATGCGCTGAAAATTGTAGAGCCAATTACAATGAGACACGTGTTCAGGGCATTAAATACGCATGACGTATGTCTCATCGTTTCTGAAGAAAGAATTATGATAGTTGGGAAGAGGTAGCAAGACATTCCCGCCATATGAACTTACCACTTCCCGAATATTCTGTTGAGAATATTCAGAAAGTGGGGGAGGGGGGGGGGGGCTATTTGTTTTGGTGAAAAAAGGCATGCCACGTGGATTAACGGCGAGGTGACAAGTGGCACTTATAATTGTGTCAATAAAGAAAAACAGAAAGGCACAGATAAAATACCCACGATGTTCAATCAGTGAAGATACCGGATCTGACAGCTGGAAAAGAGAAAATATCCATGAGATATATGAAGACAACAAGAGGGGAAGATTCATGGATCGTTTGTAAATATGGAAGGGGAATCAACCTTAGCTTTAATAATGTATGATCTTCTATTGTTACCGTAACTGTTACAAATAAATTTGGTAACCAGCAATTAAGGAAATTGCTACCATTAACGAGTTAGAATTAAGTAGGACAACCATTACAATTGTGTATCCTTATATAAGGACCATACCTCATTTTGTACAATCATCTGAATATCTCTAAATATATGCAATCAGTCTTTATTTTTATTTGATTCAATATTCCAATCCACAATTCTGGGGGAATTACCAATCAACAATAAGCTTTCTTTTCTTTACTTATTATTTTAATTATTTATTTTATTTCTGTATTGCCAAGAAAGTGAAGTGATTTGGTTATCAGTAACCTGATTTTCCTTAATATTAGCTTTGGCCATAAAAACTATTTTTGGGTTAAACAACCCCGATCCTCGGTATAATGGTGGTTCTGTGGCCAGACAGTACCTTCGCCCACCATAATGGTTGAAAAAGCAGCTGCAAAAATAAATTGGAACAGTGCCTTCACCCTTCGTTGTACAATGATTTCTTTGTTAATTTTAGCAGATTTTTTGGGGTGAAACTGTTAGTTTTAGGGTTTAGGACGAAATGATCACCTTCTACACATATTAAGGACCATATCGATTAAGGGGCATACAATAAGGACAAAAATAATCCAACTCCTATACATTAAGGGCCATTTGATCGTTTTCTCAAACTTTTTGTGTCCGTTGTTTTTCCTTTCTAAAGTCTCAATTTTGATGTCACTACTTCCTAATTTTGCAATCCACCCATCCTAGAAAAATGCATTTTTGGTAAATATGAAGCAATTGGGATAAGTCCCAATAAATGTCACTATATGCAAATCCTTGCTTTACTGCCTACTGTGCATTAAATTCGATTTTTTGGGAACTGTCATCCCTCATTTTCCATGAATACTTGGATCCAAAAGGTATGAAAGGAAAAGATCGACTTATTTTAAATGCTGGTTGAAAATGAAAAAAAATATAAAAAATATTTATAAAAGGTTGACATAAAGTTAGCAAATTGGATAGTGTTTTTTAGACACTTTTTAGTATTAAATATCGAGTATAATGTAATGTTAGAATATTGATATGAAGTTAAGAATTGATATGAGGTAAACGAAATCTTAGAACACTAATATGAAGTTAAGAAGTGATATGAGGTAAGCAAAAGAGACGAATTTTGGGTGACACATATATCTTTTTTAAAATACACTTTCTGTTAATGGAACATCAAAAGTGACTTACTTTTGAAAAATTAATTTTCAAAAAGCAATTTTCGGTAGAGTATGAGGTTCTAGAAACGAGTTTGTTCAGCTTGACGACAAAGTTCAAATTCTTCACGAGTTGACTCGATTTGAATTAGACAAAGTTCAATATATAGTTTTTCTTCATTGAATATTTTTTCAATTTATGTGTTATCCCCGTCAATGATATTATCTGAAATTCGATTAAATGTGAGTGTGAATAGTTTACTTCCTTGGATATCTGAACAGACACCTAGGATAAACTAAATTAACAACTTGAAGAATGTGTTGAATGTTCAACAAACAAATAAATTTTTACTTCCTTCTCAATTTCCTAATATTCTTTAAATATCATAGTAGCAGAATTTTGGTTTAAGAATAGACTTTATAATACAATGGTGGAAATTGTTAGGAATTGAAGCAATTAGTACTCTGTCGTTTATTGATTGCATTTGTATAAATGTTGATAAAGTGTTTTAAAAAATAAGGTTGACTTATTAACAAGGTTATTCATAATTGAGGTGCTTGTAGTCTTCAAGAACAATTACTACTAAGAGTAAAATAAGAAAAAAATAATCGATTTGTCTTGAATTTCTAAAATAACAAATAATTTGAGACAACTATTTTTAAAAATTACGACGGAGGGAGTAAGTTATTATTAGCTTCGGAAGCCAAAAAAAAGAAAGTTATTTTAATGGTATTAGAGCCTTTACAAGAAGGGCCTAAAACTCTTGGACAGAAGATCATTAATTTGCTTTGAGTGTTTTTGTACATCATTTTGAAAGCTGCAATTCTATAGTTAAAAGTGCACGTTTGATTCCGCAACTTTTAAATATCCGTGTAATACTATTTGCCTAATTAAACATGACGCTAAGAACGTGAATTGCAAAATAATTATGTTATGGCAAATAAACAGATTTTTAAATTTAATATGGTGTGTAATAGGTATTAAATTAAGTCTGAGGGTAGACGATCAGCCGTCTACACTATGAATCTTTATTTGCAAATATTCCAACAGAGACATGTGAATTCCGTAACTGGATATTGAGAACACAATACAACTCATTACTTACGAACAAGAACGAAATTGAGAAGAATGAAGCACTTTGTCCTCAATCTCAAGAAGTGCACTATGTTTGGAGCCTTTCCCCTTCAAGAAATTAGAGTACCAATGTGCAGAAAGCTTTGGATATTTATGCAAGTTTTTGTCATCTAAATCCACATAATATAGGCCAAATGCCGAACCATATGCGTCCAGTAACTCAAAATAGTCTAAAAATGACTATGTGAAGTAGCCTTTCACGTTTGATCCATTCCTAGAATAACAAAGAAAAGCAGGACACGGATGTCATACGGTTTAAAGAATCTCACAAGAAATACCTAAACATAAATTTGTTCCGAATTTTGTGGTTTTACAAGGACTTGCAGAGGATGCACGGAAAGATATTTCTGATCAATTACAACTAGAGTGCATGATGAGTTAGTGTTTGATCTACGCGTTTAAGCAAGACGATTCATCTATTTCATGTAAATATGTTACAGGCCTATAGTCTCTCATCATTAACAAATATGTTATGTGAGGATAGGGGTTACCTCATTGCATCAAGCAAATTCCCAATATAAGCTTGGAGATAGTCTACCCTGGTTGTGTCATTCAATACCGCAGTTCGTGGTGTTATTTGACCTACCAAGGCAAAAAACACCAGGCTTTTTAGAGCTTCTTGATTTTAGGGGTTCAAAGAAATATATATATTCGATTGGGACACCAAAGCCTATAAAATAACTTTCTTGGACTCAGAAATTTAAAGCCAAAGTATAGGTTTTTAATTTTTGTGTGTGTGTGTGAATGAGTGAGAGAGAGAGGGAGGGAGAGAAGGACCATTTTCATGAATATTCATAGGCGGATTGCCATAAGCTCGCTTGAAATATTCTAGTACTCTTTGTAGACCAGATTTCGTCACTGGATACTGATTCAGAAGAAAAATGTCAACATGAAAAAACAAAAAAAAAAAACATAAACAAGGCAAAGGGCACCGTCGAATTGATGCATGTCGCAATCCTCACCATGCCCGGTGGTGTAGTAGCAACATCTGTCACTGCATAAATAAAGAGATAGAAGCATTGAATCTTGACATCAGACAATTCTATCTCTATTTGGTTAATCAACCAAGTTTAAGCTGAATATTGTCTTCAAATGCCAACATGATAATTATCTTTGTTTTATGATGCATTAGTCATTGATCTTACATATTGTTTAACCTAAAAATGGAATTTTGACTAAAGCTTAATTTAGAAGAACACGGGTTACTGATAATCGCAAAAATGTATAAAAGAAAGCAATTTGAATAGCCAGAATATAATTGAATAAAACAAGTAAATCAAAGTATATTCAGATGATATTTCGTGTCCTTACAACTGTTTAGTCCTCCCCTTTTATAGCTATCTCCGATGTAAGTGTCTTGCTTTGGCCATAATAAGACTATTATGGGCAATAAATAACATTAAATGCTACGTTACATAATCATTACATTTAAGACAGATTCTCTAACGTTTTCAAGATTTAATGCTTATCAAATACTGTATTTGGACCCTCGTATGTTGTTAGACTCATTCCCTTGACTCTTCTTGATTATTGAACTTAAATTTCTTGAATAGGTACGGGCGCTGAATCCTTTAAATAACCGCCCGTGCCTTTTGCTTTTGCTCGCATCTATTACCACTCGTGCCTCTTGGATAATTGTAACTCTTTGGCTATTTGACTAGCCTACGTGTCATGACACGTCATCTTCACACTATTTTAATATGTAAACTCAATTTTTCCCAATACAGATAGTCCCACCCCCCCACTTGCCATTTATTCATCAATTGAATATTTGGGAAGTGGATTTCATTAAAACGGAAATTTTTGTCACCATTAATGCTGTGACAGAATTGACACTTCAATTGTCACTTCCATTTATTGCGTTTCACACGTGTCACCTTTCTATTGGTTCTGCAATTTTGCAGCACTTTTCTAGGCTTTCTTTTCGGCTTCCCTATTCACGAAGTGTCAGTTATCATTATTATGGCCCTTCATCATTGCACTTTTTCCTTTGACGGTTGATCATCAATATAAATATAACTTCTTTCTTTGTCTTTGTCTCATAAAGTTTACTGAACACTTTATTTTTCAAATCTTTGTTTGTTTCCTCCTCGTATCATTTTTTTTCATTATGTCTTCGTCGAACCCCAACCCTAGAAGGACTTCCATTGTTGATACCCTCCCTAGTGCTCTTAGCAGGGGCAGAAGGGGAGGTAGGCACCGCAGTTCGGGATCTGCACGAGGCACTTCTGTTTTATCTCTTGGTTCCGGCCCTTCTTCCAGAACCAGAGGTTCCCTTTCTCAAAAATCTTCCTCTAGGGGTAAAGAACCTTCTGAACCATTACGTGAACTTTTAGTAGAAGAGATAGTCCCTATGGAATTGTCTTTTTATCATGACAGGGAATCTCTTAGGAATCAGGTTTCCACTTTAGATCGTGCTGATGCTTTTCCTACTCAGATTACAGAAATTTTGGCTCCTATAGTTCACAAAGACTGCCATTGGAGTGATGACTTTCCTATCATTATTCCTAACCCAAATCAGAGAATCACTTCTTACTTGATGGGATTCCCTTTTGTTTATACATACCCTTTCACTTTAGGGTTCAAACCAGCTATTGACCCAGTCATTCTTGATTTCTGTTGTTTCTTCGACGTTTGTTTGGGTCAAATTGGCCCAATCATATGGAGGGATGTTGCTTGTTTAAAGCATTTAACCAATTCTGCTGGTGTTCCCTTCACTTTCCCTCACTTAATTCATCTTTACACCCCTAGGCTTTTTCGTAATGGTGTTTTCACACTAGTAGCCAGGAGTAAGAGGGTTTTGGTGAGCCCTGAGGATGACAAGGACCGTGACTGATATGCCCGTTTTGTTGCTGCCCCCACTGCTGGTTTAGTGGATGAAGATAACGTTCCCTTCCCTGAGAAGTGGAACTTTGCACGTAAGTCTTTTATCCTGCTCGTGACTTTTTCCTTCAAGTTTATCAACTTTTCTAATTCTGCTTCTCTTTCTTTTTTTTTTTAGCAACCATGGAAGTTGTGGGAGATGTCCCCAATTTTCGTGGTTGGGTAGACAGATTACTGAAGACCGCACCAATGGATGGGAGGTCTTAGAAGACACTTTCTAACCGTTTTGGTTGGAAAGTAAAGACTCATGGTAAGAGTTTCTTATTTTGTTTCATCTTCCATACATATGTTTCTCTTTATGTCTCTAATTTCAATCCATCTTTTTGTCAGGATTTGCTATTCGAGGAGTTACTGCCGAGGTAGTTGCGGCTTCTCGTGCTTCTTCTGGAACCCGTATCTATTTGGAAAGGGCTCAAGAAATAGTCTTGGGTTCTTCGAAGAGAAAAGCCATTGAAGAAGAAGATTCCGAAGAAGAGGAGGATGACGGTGGCTCTTTAGTGAGACGGCCTCGAGCTCGAAGATGCATCATTTCTGATGACGAGGCTGAAACATCCCCTCGCCAATCTGTGTCTCTCTCCGAGCCTACTGAAGCCCTAGTGGTAATTCCCGTATCTGATGATGACGTAGCTCCCTTAGATACTCGTGAATCCATTGAACAACTTTTCATCAGTGGCTTCGGTAGTGGAAGTTTAGGGCCTGTTTTAGATGAAACTCCCCTAGCCTCTTTTTCAACTCCCGTGCCTATAATTTCTTCCTTACTAACCCCAGTTGTTTCTGTTCCTTCTTCTACTGTTTTTACTTCTTTTAAGCTCATCCTTTGACAATTCCCCCTCCTATCGTTCATCATACGGAAGTGGGCTCTTCAAGTAGAAGTGCCGCCATGAGGAGGGTAACTATTGAAGTTCCTGCTGGTAGCAGCCTTTTAAGAAAGTCAGGCCAAGCGGATATATGGCTAGAGCCTTTAATTGGCCCAATTGAAAAAGCAAAGCTGGAGAGCCATAGTTCCCTGACCCTAATGAATGATATCGTGCATGCCACTTTGAAGGTATTTTCCTTCTCTCCTTTCTTTACTTTGTAAAAATTTTATCTTTCGGATTCTTATTCCCCTTCCTTTTTTTTAGGCCAATCTCATCGGCACAGAAATGATGAACAGATTCCCCCTCTTGGAGAAGGTAGCACGTGATTCTCAGTTGGAGGCGATCAATTGGAAGGAACAATTTGAGAGTGCACAAATTGACATGGAAGATTTACTAGAGAGCAAGAATACCTTAGAGCAGCAGGTGCGAGCTTTAACCTCGGAATTAGCAGTGGCAAAAGCTTCCTTAAGCCAAACGGAAAAAGAAAAAGAGCGTCTCGAGTCTTCCTTCTCAGAACAACTATCCAAGGCCAATGAAGATAACGGAGAGTTGAAGGTTCTCTTGAGTCAAAAAGAGACTTACTCTGGGGAGCTCGTGCAAAGCTTAACTCAAGCACAAGAAAACCTTCGAGTCTGCTCTGATAAGATGCGTGCTTTGGAAAGCTCCCATGCCTCTCTTCAAATTTCATACAACTCTGCCATGGCTGAAAATGAAGAGCTAAAGAATGAGATTACTGATTGGGAAAGGGATTATGAGACCCTTTGAAGAGAAATCTGCTATTGAAGCAAGTTGGGTGTTTCTGAATTCACGCCGTGATACCCTGATCGAAGCTGGCCAAGAAAATTTCAACTTAGAGTCTGAATTGGCTAAGGTTAATGAAACCATTGAGAAGGCTCAACAAACTCAAGATTTTCCTTCTCCTGCGGCCGAAGCTTCCGTGAATGTTGAAGTTGATACGGGTATCGTAGCTCTTCCAAGCCCTGTCGAGGATGTTGCTGAGAGTCAAGATCAACCCGCAACTGTTGATGCACCTGCCCCAGTTGAGCCCGTTGCCGTTGATGCAACTTCTTCAGTCCCCTCATCTTCCTAGTGATAAATTTGAACTTTTTGAATTCTTTTCTGCAGGTACCTTTTTGGAAGGTTATGTTTAAAACCCTTGGTTTCATTTGAGGGTTTATTTTAGAAACGCAAGTCCCCAATCTTTCTATGGGGTAATCTGTATATACAATTCGTAGTTTTTCGACTAAGTTCTTACTTAGTCTTAAGCTTTTTAATATTTTAGAAGTTTTCTCATTACTATCTTGAACTTCTATTTAGTTTATTCTTGCCTTTATTTCTAAGGACTTATAGAATAATCTGCATTTTTATTCTTTAGAAAATGCTTTTGTTAACTTCATGAATAACTAAAGTAAACATGAGTTTTATAAAAGAGGGCCTTTTTATATTTCGACACTTAATGAAGAAGACGTCTCAACTTCATAATGGTGTTAACATACGATAAAAGAAATAGGAACACACATGTTTCTTTTGAAATAACATTGACAAGTTTTTTATTTGAACTTTGTCTAGTTTTGAATAATGCTTTACATGTATTTAAATTACATCTATAACTTTCTCGTAACTGTTTTTCTTGTAACAGATTTAAATAATAAACATGATATCCCGTTTCAGTACAATAAACACAAGGAACCAATTTGTTTAACCAAAAAATGGAATTTTGACTAAAGCTATAATTTAGAAGAACACGGGTTACTGATAATCGCAAGAATGTATAAAAGAAAGCAATTTGAATAGCCAGAATATAATTGAATAAAACAAGTAAACCAAAGTATATTCAGATGATCTTTCGTGTCCTTACAACTGTTTAGTCCTCCCCTTTTATAGCTATCTCCGATGTAAGTGTCTTGCTTTGGCCATAATAAGACTATTATGGGCAATAAATGATATTAAATGCTACGTTACATAATCATTACATTTAAGACAGATTCTCTAACGTTTTCAAGATTTAATGCTTATCAAATACTGTATTTGGACCCTCGTATGCTGTCAGATTCATTCTCTAGACTCTTCTTGATTATTGAACTTAAATTTCTTAAATAGGTACGGGCGCTGAATCC